AACCTCAAAATTGCAACTGGATGCTGAACAACCATCAACAGGAGAAAAAGAAATGCAAAAACGTAAAATGGTTGTCTGAGGAGGCCTTACAAATAGCTGAGAAAAGAAGAGAAGAGAAAGGCAAAGGAGAAAAGGAAAGTTATATCCATTTGAATACAGAGTTCTGAAGAATAGCAGAGAGACATAAAAAAGCCTTCCTCAGCAATCAGGGCAAAGAAATAGAGGAAAACAATAGAATGGGAAAGACTAGAGATCTCTTCAAGAAAATCAGAGATACCAAGGGAACATTTCATGCAGTGACGGGCACAATAAAGGACAAACAGTATGGACCTAACAGTGGCAGAAGATATTAAGAGGAGGTGGCAAGGACACACAGAAGAACTATACAAAAAAGATCTTAATGACCAAGATAACCACGATGGTGTGATCACTCACCTAGAGCAAGACATTCTACAATGCAAAGTCAAGAGGGCCTTAGGAAGCATCACTGTGAACAAAGCTAGTGGAGGTGATGGGATTCCAGTTGAGCTATTTCAAATCCTCAAAGACGATGCTGTGAAAGTACTGCACTCAATACGCCAGCAAATTTGGAAAACTCAGCAGGGGCCACAGGACTGGAAAAGGTCAGTTTTCATTCCAATCCAAAAAAAAAGGCAATGCCAAAGAATGTTCAAACTACCACACAATTACACTCATCTCAAACACTAGTAATGCTCAAAATTCTCCAAGCCAGGCTTCAACAGTATGTGAACCGAGGACTTCCAGATATTCAAGCTAGATTTAGAAAAGGCAGAGGAACCAGAGGTCAAATTGCCAACGTCTCTCAGATCATAGAGAAAACAAGAGAGTTCCAGAAAAACATCTACTTCTGCTTTACTGACTACATCAAAGCCTTTGACTGCGGATCAAAATAAACCGTGGAAAATTCTTAAAGAGGTGGGAATACCAGACCACCTTACCCGCCTCCTGAGATATTTGAGGTCAAGAAGCAACACTTAGAATTGGACATGGAACAAACTGGTTCCAACTTGGGAAAAGGAGAACACCAAGGCTGCATATTGTCACCCTGTTTGTTTAACTTATATGCAGAATACATCCTGAGAAATGCTGGGCTGGATGAAGCACAAGCTGTAATCGAGATTGCCAGGAGAAACATCAATGACCTCAGATATGCAGATGACACCACCCTTATGGTAGAAAGTGAAGAGGAACTAGAAAGCCTCTTGATGAAAGTGAAAGAGGAGAGTGAAAAAGCTGGCTTAAAACTCAACATTCAAAAAACTAAGATCATGGCATCCAGTCCCATCACTTCATGGCAAACAGAAGGGGAAACAGTGGAAACAGAGACAGACTTTATTTTCTTGGGCTCCAAAATCACTGCAGATGGTGACTGCAGCCATGAAATTAAAAGATGCTTGCTCTTTGGAAGAAAAGCTATGACAAACCTAGACAGCATATTAGAAAGCAGAGACATTACTTTGCCAACAAAGGTCCATCTAGTCAAAGTTATGGTTGTTCCAGTATATATATATATATATGGATGTGAGAGTTGGACCAGAAAGAAAGTGGAGTGCCAAAAAATTGATGCTTTTGAACTGTGGTGTTGGAGAAGACTCTTGAGAGTCCCTTGGATTGCAAGGAGATCAAACCAGTCAATCCTAAAGGAAATCACTTCTGAATATTCACTGGAAGGACTGAGGCTGAAGCCCCAGTACTTGGGCCACCTGATGGGAAGAACTGACTCATTTAGAAAAGACCCTGATGCCGGGAAAGATTGAAGGGAGGAGGAGAATGGGACAACAGAGAACAAGATGGTTGGATGGCATCACCGACTCAATGGACATGAGTTTGAGCAAGCTCCAGGATTTGGTGATAGACAGGGAAGCCTGGCATGCTACATACAGTCCATGGGGTTGCAAAGAGTCAGACACAATTTAGCAACTGACCTGATATACTAAATATTAATCTAGGTATTTTATTTGTATTGACTTATTTAATCCTAACAGTCACCCTCCAATAACCTCTCAAACACAAAATATAAATCTCCTACCCAGGAACTGTTCTCTAAATGACAAGTAAATACACTTCTATAATCATCTTTGCTGTGAAGTTCATGATGGTTACATTAAAGCATACCACGACTTTGTTTTAAAAATCTCATATTATTGGGAGTTCCCTGGTGGTCCCATGATTAGGATTCGGTGCTTTCGTTGCCATGGGCCCAAGCTCAATACCTGGTAGGGGAACTAATATCCCATGGGCCAAGTGGTACAGCCAAAACAAACAAACAAACAAACAAAAAAACACTAACAAAAAACAAAACCCCATACTATCCATTTAAAACAAACTTCATTGTCTTGATTACAAACTAACAGTGTATCATTGTGGCTGATTAATGGCTTCATCAAGTGATTACAACAAATTCTTAACCACTCATTAACAGCAGAAAAGAGTGATAAAATATTCAAAAGAACAATACTAATAATCCTAAAATAGAACTGTAATCCACATCAACCAAGCTTATTCTGTTTCAGGAACTAATTCACTCACTACAAAGCACTCAAGTGTCTTTCAGAAATATAGGGGAAAGGAACAACAGCCAAAAGGCTTAAATAAGCAAGAATTATTATGTATTTTATTTGTAAAAACAGTCAACAATACGTTTTATACTACTAGCCAAGAAGTACATATTTCATTTAACCAAATATTGATGATAAAGTTTCAAGACTAAAGACACAGCTTTAAAAATGGCCTGCTACCTCCCAACTGAGATGTTCCGTACTATCAGATAAAATGTACCTTGATACTTAAAATATTTTAAAAACTAAATTAATTGAGCTGCAGTTAGAAGTCCTACCTTAAAAGCCTAAAAATCTCTTTTCAACATTACTGGAAAAAACATTTAGGGGAAAAGTCACCAAAAAGTTGTTTTTTATGTCACCAAATTATAATTTCAGGCCCCCAAATCTTAACTAACAGACCACATTCTCTAAAATATTACATCTAATCATCTTGCCAACGACTCTTCTTTTACATAATAATTCTGATGGTGATAATTAAGAATTACTTATAATACACCATGGAATATTACTCAGCCATTAAAAAGAATTCATTTGAATCAGTTCTAATGAGATGGATGAAACTGGAGCCCATTATACAGAGTGAAGTAAGCCAGAAAGATAAAGACCATTACAGTATACTAACACATATTTATGGAATTTAGAAAGATGGTAACGATAACCCTATATGCAAAACAGAAAAAGAGACTCAGATGTATAGAACAGACTTGTGGACTCTGGGAGAAGGCGAGGGTGGGATGTTTCAAGAGAACAGCATCGAAACATGTATATTATCTAGGGTGAAACAGATCACCAGCCCAGGTTGGGTGCATGAGGCAAGTGCTCGGGCCTGGTACACTGGGAAGACCCAGAGGGATCGGGTGGAGAGGGAGGTGGGAGGGGGGATCGGGATGGGGAATACATGTAAATCCATGGCTAATTAATTTCAATGTATGACAAAAACCACTGCAATGATGTAAAGTAATTAGCCTCCAACTAATAAAAATAAATGGAAAAAAAAAAAAAGAATTACTTATAAAAGCCAGGCACCGTTCTAAGAGCTATATATATGTAAACACACTTATTTCCCAAAACTGGCTTATGAAATACATCCTATTATTGTTCCTATTTTACAAGTGAGAAAACTGAGCCACAAGACGATTAAGTAATTAACCCAAGAAACAGTAAAGCAAAGAGATGAACTCAAGCAGTCTAGCTCTAAAATATCCACTTGTACAAACTTCCACTGAGAAGTATGAGCAGTAGCTTGCTATAACCTCGTAACACACATAAGTGGGTACTATTATTATACTCATTTACACAGGAAAACTAAAATTTGTCCAGAGTCAAACATCTAATAAGTGACAGAATCAGGATACTAGCCAAATTCCCATTAGTCTAAAAGCTGATTTCTTAACTATAAAGGTATATTGCCTCCCTATAACTAAGAGTAATGAACCCATGAACCATCAGATAAATGATATGAAATCTCAAATAAGAGTACAATAGTATGTCACGGGATGAACTAAAGATTACACCCCAGATGCAGGTGAAAGAGCAGAGTGAAAGAGCTGGCTTAAAAGTCAACATTCACAAAACTAATTCATGTCAACTGGTCCCATCACTTCATGGAAAACAGATGGAGAAACAATGGAGACAATAACAGACTTTCTTTTCTTGGGCTCCAAAATCACTGCAGATGGTGACTGCAGCCATGAAATTAAAAGATGCTTGCTCTCTGGAAGAAAAGCTATGACAAACCTAGACAGCATATTAGAAAGCAGAGACATTACTTTGCCAACAAAGGTCCATCTAGTCAAAGTTATGGTTTTTCCAGTAGTCATGTATGGATGTCAGAGTTGGACCATAAAGAAGGCTGAGTGCTGAAGAATTGATGCTTTTGAACTGTGGTGTTGGAGAAGACTTGAGAGTCCCGTGGACAGCAAGGAAATCAAACCAGTCAATCTGATAGGGAATCAATCCAAAATATTCATTGGAAAGACTCAGGCTGAAGCCCCAGTACTTTGGCCACCTGACGTGAAGGGCCGACTTGTTAGAAAAGACCCTAATGCTGGGAAAGATTGAAGGCAGGAGGAGAAGGGGATGAGATGGTTGTATGGCATCACTGACTCAATGAACATGAATCTGAGCAAGCTCCGGGAGGGAGATGGTGAAGGACAGGGAAGCTGGCGTGCTACAGTCCATGGGGTCACAAAGAGTCAGACACGACTGAGCCACTGAACAACAACAACATACCCCAGAAATATGAAATATCAGTTGATTCCTGCCAAGTAGTTCACGTAGTATCAAAAAGCAAAGGCACTTATAAAATGTATCATCTACTAAGAGAAAATATATATTCTACATAAAATAGTTTAATGTAAGAAATAAAAGTTATAAACCTTGCCTATCAAATACAGTAAGCAGCAAATGTAAACATACCTGCAAGGAGGCAAAACCATGGAGTCTTTCATAAGCACAGATCCAGAAAGCAGGATATACCAACATCTGGCAATAGTTTCTGAACTGTTTAAATGAATAAATAGATATGTAAATAAATGTACATATTCACATGTATCTATGAATTCAATACAAAATACAAAACATGAAAAAATGCAAGTATTGTTATAAGTAGTTAAAAATTAACAGTCCTTGGAAATTTCACTTGTCACCAAAGGTTTCCTATAGACTGTGTTCACATCTTACATAATAACTATCCTAAGATACAGGTTTCAGAAATACATTTTTTTTGGTTCTTCATTATTAACATATCAGTAACTTCCCATTCCTCATTTTTGTGTACTGGGTCACTACATTTGATGAAGATCAACTCAAATATTATACTAGATGTACATATTAAGAAGTTCCAGAAAAATAAATGACCCAATCAAAAAATGGGCCAAAGAACTAAACAGACATTTCTCCAAAGAAGACATACAGATGGCTAACAAACACATGAAAAGATGCTCAACATCACTCATCATCAGAGAAATGCAAATCAAAACCACAATGAGGTATCATTACATGCCAGTCAGGATGGCTGCTATCCAAAAGTCTACAAGCAATAAATGCTGGAGAGGGTATGGAGAAAAGGGAACCCTCTTACACTGTTGGTGGGAATGCAAACTAGTACAGCCGCTATGGAGAACAGTGTGGAGATTCCTTAAAAAACTGGAAATAGAACTGCCATATGACCCAGCAATCCCACTTGTGGGCATACACACCTAGGAAACCAGATCTGAAAGAGACACGTGCACCCCAATGTTCATCGCAGCGCTGTTTATAATAGCCAGGACATGGAAGCAACCTAGATGCCCATCAGCAGACGACTGGATAAGGAAGCTGTGGTACATATACACCATGCAATATTACTCAGCCATTAAAAAGAATTCATTTGAATCAGTTCTAATGAGATGGATGAAGATGGAGCCCATTATACAGAGTGAAGTAAGCCAGAAAGATAAAGACCATTACAGTATACTAACTCATATATATGGAATTTAGAAAGATGGTAACAATAACCCTATATGCAAAACAGAAAAAGAGACTGAGATGTACAGAACAGACTTTTGGACTCTGTGGGAGAAGGCCAGGGTGCAATGTTTCGAGAGAACAGCATCGAAACATGTGTATTATCAAGAGTGAAACATCACCAGCCCAGGTTGGATGCATGAGACAAGTGCTCAGGCCTGGTGCACTGGGAAGACCCAGAGGGATGGGGTGGAGAGGGAGGTGGGAGGGGGGATCGGGATGGGGAATACATGTAAATCCATGGCTGATTCATGTCAATGTATGACGAAACCCACTACAATACTGTAAAGTAATTGGCCTCCAACTAATAAAAATAAATGAAAAAAAAAATAAAAACAAACAAAAAAATTTCTATCTCTGGTAAGTTTAATGTATATTAAGGACAGTATTGTTTGGAATTCACATTTATCAATGTTCCATCTTCATGTTCAACTATAATATGGGTCATAATGATTTACTTCTTTCACTTAAATTCTATTCTGACATTAAAAAAAAAATGTCTACCCACCCTTTCATTTTATGTGTTTTTTAAGGATAAAAAATATCAGATGACTTGAGTCCATCATCAGTTTTAGCTCAATAAAATTACCAATGGAAACCCAGAATACTGTTAGATGTTAAGTTTATAATCTAATCATTTTGTCTCATATATTTTTAATTTACCATACCTATAACTTCAATTAATTCCAATATGTAGACAATTCCAATTTTATATAAAAGAAACATTCCCTCTGAGCTGGAGAATTGTATATCTATCTGGCTACTGACAGGTCAACTTGCATATATGACGCACAACTCAACCTCAACATATTCAAAATCTACCTATCATTTCCCTCAAGCTTGATTTTTTTCTAGGGTTCTCTGTTCTCAGTGAATACTACCATCCATCGTTCAGAAATCTAAGTGTCCAAACCATTCCACACAACACCCAGGGTGAGCTTTCCAAATAAATCCTACTGCTTACCATGAGAAGGAAAAATTATCATCAACTTTCCAGAAGATATTTTAAAGTTTTTAATATCCCTCCCCTCTGTCTTCACTGAGGGAAAATACAAATGGCTGAAAATCTCCTACTTAAAGTTCTTTGTTTGGAAATTCCTTCTAATTCTTTTGAAATATGACTTTCATACAATCAAAAAGGAATTAAAATCAATAAAAGAAAAATTTGCCTAAAATCAATACAGAAGAAAGTTACAATTAAATGCTACCACAAGTCTCCAATTGTTATCTCACTTTATTGAAACAGTCACAGAGTTGTCAGTAAATTCTACTATAAATACAAGAAAACTCCTGATGTTCACTCCTAACACCAAGAGGGCCATGCCAGCTCATGAATCAGAAAACATTCAGACCTTGCAGAGAACTCCACTCTTAGAGGGGCTGCTGCTGCTGCTAAGTTGCTTCAGTCGTGTCTGACTCTGTGCAACCCCATAGACGGCAGCCCACCAGGCTCCCCCGTCCTTGAGATTCTCCAGACAAGAACACTGGAGTGGGTTGCCATTTCCTTCTCCAATGCATGCATGCAGGCTAAGTCACTTCAGTCATGTCCGACTCTGTGCGACCCCATGGACAGCAGCCCACCAGGCGTCTCTGTCTACGAGATTCTCCAGGCAAGAGTACTGGAGTGGGTTGCCATTTCCTTATCCAACTCTTAGAGCACAGTTTGGCAATGTATCTGATGAGTAAACATAAGGAAAGTGGAAGTTTTTCTAACATGGGTCCGCCTGTCTCCTTTCTTTTTGCAAGTGAATAAATCTAAGAATAACCTAGCCTAGCAAAGAGTGCCATACATAATCTTGTCAGATTTTACTCCTTCAAAGGCTTCACAATGATCCTAAAATAAAGAACAAAAACTACTAAGGTGGCCTTCACCTACCTCTCTCCAGACCTCTCTCTTCCCATTTCCTCCTCTCTGCTGGTGGCACTCAGCACAGGGGTTTATTTTCACTTTTTCTATCACGCTGCTTCCCAGTTAAGGTCAACTACATGCATTCTTTTCTCTGCTTCCAATAATCTCTGAATTTAAACTCTTTAATTTACACATTCAGTTTTCTAAAAATTCTTTGGTTTATGATTAGTCAGATATAGATTTGGATAATTCTAAATATTAATTTTCAAACAGTTTAACTGAGGTATAATCTACAAACTATAAATTCATCATTTTAAGTATACGATTCAACGATTTTTATGAAGTTGAAAAGGACTGTGCCAACATCACCACAAAGAGACCTTTCATGCCATGTTTGCAGTCTATCCCTGCCCCAGGTAAACAATAATCTGCTCTGTCTCTACAGATTTGTTTTCCGACAGTTCATGTAAATAGAATCATGTAATATGTGATGCTTCTAACTTACACCTTCCACTTAGCATAATATGTCTGAGGTTTGTCCATGCTGTAGTATGTAGCACCACTTTATTCCCTTTTAATGACAAATAGTATTCCACTAACCAGATGCAGAGCATTTTATATACCCATTCATTGGACAATTTCCAGTTTTGGGTGATTATGGATAGTGCTACTAAGAAAGAACATCTGTGTACCGTCTCTGTATGCACGTTTTCATATTTCCTTGGTAAATATATAAAAGCAGAATTACTGGGTTACATCATAAAATTTAAAGAAACTGCCAAACCATTTCCTAAAGTGGCTCTATTTATATCCATACCACAAATATTTGACAATCCCAGGTGTCAACAAATCCTAATCAACACTTGTTATTTTCTACCTTTTTTGACTATAGCTATTTTTCAAAATTTGTTTTTAATCAAAGTAACATTGGTTTATAGCACCATGTGTCATATGTGTTTCTACTTCTGTATACCCTATAGCATGCCCACCATCACAAGTTTACTTTCCACCATTACCATACAGGTGATCCCCCTTTACTCATTTTGAACCCCTGCAACTGTAGCTATTCTACTGGGTTTAAAGTGCTTTCTCAGATTAACTTTCTGTATGTAAATACTCTGCACCATTTATTGAAAAAACTATGTTTTCCCAACTGAAATGCTTTAGTACCTTCATCAAAAATAAACTATTCACTGGTGGTTCCTTTTTAATACTCAGTTGTGTTATACCCACATTGTGTGCATACAGCTTAGCTACGTAGCTAGAGGACCATTTTTTAAAAAGGCAGAGACTATTTATTTCTGGGCTCTCAATTCTGTTCCATTTATCTATAAATCTATACTTTTCCTTGATAGTTCTTATATATGTGTAGCTATTTTAATGAAACTTTTCTCCTCCATTACATGTTAAACTCATAAGGACAAATCTCAAGTCTTTCCACCATTCTATAACAGCCTAAGCATTAATACAAATGAGCATTTACTAATATGTTAATGAATCAACAACTGAACAAATAAAGCTATAAAAATCCATATGAATCCAGAAAATACTTAGAAATAATGATGAATGCAATGTGCAATGAAACACTGTAGTCAATACCAGAAAAGGCAGAGGAACCAGAAATGAAACTGTCAACATTTGCTAGACCACAGAGAAAGCAATGGAATTCCAGAAAAACATCTATTTCTACTTCACTGACTATGCTAAAGGCTTTGACTGTGTGGATCACAACAAATTGTTGAAAATTCTTAAAGAGATGGGAGTACCAGACCGTCTTGCCTGTCTCCTGAGAAACCTGTATGCAGGTCAAGAAGCAACAGTTAGAACTGGACATGGAACAAAGGACTGGTTCAAAACTGGGAAAGAGAGTATGAGAAGGCCATATATTGTCACTCTGCTTATTTAACTCATATGCAGAGTACATCACGAGAAATGACAGGCTGGAGGAATCACAAACTAGAATCAAGACTGTCACAAGCTGGAATCAAGATAGCCAGGAGACATATCAACAACCTCAGATATGCAGATGATACCACTCTAATGTCAGAAAGTGAAGAGGAACTAAAGAGCCTATTGTTGAGGGTGAAAAGAGGGAGTGAAAAAGCTGCCTTAAAACTCAACATTCAAAAAACTAACATGATGGCATCCAGTCCCATCACTTCATGGCAAACAGAAGAGGAAAAGACAAAGCAGTGACAGACTTTATTTTCTTGGGCTCCAAGATCACTGTAGACCATGACTACAGCCATGAAATTAAGACCCTTGCTCCTTGTCAGGAAAGCCATGACAAACCTAGACAGCATATTAAAAAGCAGAGACATCCCTTTGCTGACAAAGGTCCATATGGTCAAAGATGATTTTTCCAGTAGTCATATATGGACGTGAGAGCTGGACCATAAAGAAGACTGAGCGGTGAAGAATTGATGCTTTTGACTTGGTACTGCTGGAGAAGACTCCTGGGAGTCCCTTGGACTGCAAGGAGATCAAACCAGTCAATCCTAAAAGAGATCAACCCTCAATATTCACTGGATGGACTTATGATAAAGTTCCAATACTTTGGCCACCTGATGCGAACAGCCAACTCATTGAGAAAGACCCAGATGCTGGGAAAGACCAAAGACAAAAGGAGAAGGGCGTGGCATTAGATGAGATGGTTAGATAGCATTAGATAGATCATGTCAATGGACATGAATTTGAACAAACTCCAGAAGATAGTGGGGGACAGAGGAGCCCAGCGTGCTGCAGTCCATGGGGATGCAAAGAGTCGGATACGACTTAGCGACTGAACAACAACATATCAGCTGCATACATAAAATAAAAAGAGGTCCCTGTTGCCAAAAACTATGGAAGAGAAACAGAGAAGAATTATCTTCATAATCTGAGGATGGTAAAGATTTTGTTTTTTTAAATAGGACATGAGATTCACTAATCACAAGGGAAAAAACGTTAGAATCTCTTTTCTTCAGAAGACGCCATTAATAGAATAAAAAAGAAAGCCACACAGTGGGAGAAGATATTTAAAACTTATGCACCCAACAAAGGACTTAGAGCATTCATAAAAATTTTATACAAATTGATAAAAATAAGATAGCCCAATTAAAAAATGGTCAAAAACATGAACCAAGGTTTCAGAAAATAGCTATCCAAATAAGACTATAAAAACAGGAAAATCACTCATCATTAAGCAGGAAAACAAAAAATAAAATCACAATGAGATAACAAAATGCAATATATATTTTAGATTATATTCTAGAATCTCCTAAATTTGAGCACATGTATTTCCAATGCTTATTCCTAAGAATATTTCCCAGAGGAATGAGTAAATAAGGGTACAGAAAGACATGAATAAAATATTCATAGAAACTATTTATGATAGGAAAAATACTGTAAACAACCCGAATATTTATTAGTAGTGGGAAAGATAAATTATTTTTTTCACATAATTGTATACTATAAAGCACTGAAAAAGAATGAATGCAACAACATGGGAGAATCAACATCTGTGAAGTATATAAAGCCTGATCAAAAGGTTCTGTATCAAATTTTATATGAATTTTTATATGAAATTCAGAGACAAAACTAATACAGGGTGACAGCCATCAGAGCTAGACTATCTTTCCAAGACGGCTGACTGAGCCCTCTTAAAAGCTAGTATGTTCTATATACTCACTGCATAGTCGTTACACAGATGTATCTTGTTTATTAAACTTTATTGCATTTACTTCTCCCCTGAATTCTATGTATGTTATATTTCACAGTTCAGGAATGTATTTTAATCTCTTCCACAGAAACTTTCAGAATCAAATGAATTTCCCTGCTAATAGCCCAAACTTTAAACATTATTAACTTAATTCAGGAAATACTTACCAAAAAAGAACTTGATTGCCACTGTATCTCTCATAGCGTGCTCTTGCAGACATCAACCTAACATATTTTTTAAAAAGTAAAAAAATTTTAAATTATCTTAAATTGTTTTAATAATTATTAACAGCTACCACAACAGAAAGTTATCAGATCTACCACTAAATTTTTCACTAGAGTTTAAAAATATAAACATCACACACATATAAATCTGTTTAATAAACACAAATTTGCTTACATTTAAAAATACTCTATTACTAACACTCTAGTTTTCAGTTTTCTTCTTTCTTCTTGATACACTTGTTTGACATATACTAACATCTGAATACTGTTACACAGAAAACAGAAAATAATAAATCCCAAACAATCATATTTTAGCAATTTGGTCCATAGCCAGAAACTTAAAAGAACAGCCAGAAAAGTGATGGTTAAGCTGGCCACAGGGAAGAAAACGGGTTTAATCAAAATTTATACAAAGTTACAACAGTTAGTACTTACAGCACTCAAAAGTGCTTTTACAAACATAATCACAATGATACAAGGTGGCAGGAGAGAGAACTCATTTTATAGAACAGAAAAATGAGGTTCACAAAGTTCATGGGTACTGTCCATAGAAGCTTATAACCAATCAAGAGTCTTGCTCCTTCCACTTTAATATAATACCACATCATACCAAGTCCATCTTAAGCATTTTATATAATAAATATCAATGCAAAGTACAAAAAGAAAACAGTTCTGTTTTCTCTAGATAGCACAGACTGAGCACTGAACTTTGTTTTAAATATTCTCATTTAATCTTCAAAATGTTGTAACAAAGTTAATCTTTTTATCCCTATTTTAAGGAAGACTAAACTATAGCTTAGATGTTAAGACTTGTTCAAGGTCCCATGGCTAAGAAAAACTGGAATGAGAAGGGCCAGTTGCTATGCATAGCCTATAAAAAGCACCTAAATGATTTGGCCCCTGCAACTATCTATCCGAACTGATGTGAATAAACCTCTTAGCATATGCTCTTAAACACAGCATCACACTTACCGAAGCTGATGTTCCCTGAGATTTGATAATATTTCCATTCCATGAAGATAAGAATAAATAGTATTTAAGTCCTGTAAAACAGAGAAGATTTTAGATTAGGAACTTATACTTCTAAAAATATTTTCCCTGGTGTGATTCTGGCCTGTGAGGCTGTTTTCCTCAACAGTAGTTGTTTATTTCCATCCGGCTTCTCTCCCATCTAAGTGCATGCCTCCAAACCACAGACACCAGCCCCTTGAGGCCCAGAACTATCTTTTTGGTTGTGAACTAAAGGCTGACAAAGATTATCACTTTAAGGTGGATAATGATGAAAATGAGCACCAGTTATCTTTAAGAATGATCAGTTTAGGGGCTGATGCAAAGGATGATTGCACATTGCTGAAGAAGAGGCGATGAATCATGAAGGCAGTCCAATTAAAGTAACACTGGCAACTTTGAAAATGTCTGTACAGTCAAATGTTTCCCTTGGGGGCTTTGAAATAACACCACCTGTGGTCTTACAGTTGAAGTGTGGTTCAGGGCCTGTGCCTATTAGTGGACAGCACTTAGTAGCTGTGGAGAAGATGCAGAGTCAGAAGATGAAGAGGAGGAGGATGTGAAACTCTAAGTATATCTGGAAGGCGTTCTGCCCCTGGAAGTGGTAGTAAGGTTCCCCACAAAAAAGTAAAGTTTGCTACTAATGAAGATGATGATGAAGATGGTGATGGTGATGGTGACAACTTTGATGAGGAAGCTGAAGAAAAAACTCCAGTAAAGAAATCTGTATGAGATATTCCATCCAAAAATGCACAAAAATTAAACCAGAATGGAAAAGACTCAAAACCATCAACACCAAAGTTAAAAGGTCAAGAATCCTTCAAAAAAAGAGAGAAAAAACCTCCCAAGACATTGAAAGGACCTGGCTCTGTAGAAGACATTAAAGCAAAAATGCAAGCAAGTACAGAAAACACACACTGAACAACCCTGGGCAGTACTGGTAAATTAAACCCAAAGATGGTGATAGAGGAAAAAGAAAGACAAATATAGTCTAAACTGAGTATCAACAATAATCCAGACTGAAGTCTTCTATTTTAATCTCAATCCCCTTTCCTGATTGGCCACCCAACCACACCCCCTTCCAAGCTGGAAGCAATTTCTTGATCTCCTAAAACTCTTCTGATGGCTCTGATTCAGTGAACCTTGTATTTTGCTTTCCATTATTTGTGCAACTGCCTCACTTCTGACCATGTTTTAATCACCTTTGCATTTCCCTAGCTGCTCAATAGATATTTAATCGAAAAAAAATAACAGAAAGAAAAGTGAAGTTGCTCAGTCGTGTCTGACTCTTTGCAACCCCATGGACTGTAGCCTACCAGGCTCCTCCATCCATGGAATTTTCCAGGCAAGAGTACTGAAGTGGGTTGCCATTTCCTTCCATTTCCTTCCCCAGGGGATCTTCCCAACCCAGGGATCAAACCCAGGTCTGCCACGTTACAGGTAGACACTTTAACGTCTGAGCCACCAGGGAAGTCCCATATACATATGTAGTGATATTCCACAATTCTGTAAGAACAACCACTTATGACACAATTGTTACCATGAAAGAGTCACAAAAATCTCTGAACAACAACAGATCTGAAAAGGTTGAGAAGAATTCCCTCAACTCATACAGGAACCCCTTCTCAGCATGGCCGACAAACAATGCCAGAAATAAAAAATTCATTACTTCATACCAAGGTCTACTTCACTTCTAAACATATGTAATCTTTCTTCTTTAGTGACCCTCAAACATTTGAAAAGTTATCCCATCATCTTAAATCTTTTTTTTTTTTTTTTACCTCCAGATAACAGTCTGAGTATTTGCAGGTTCCAGATCTTTAAGCATCCTAATTGATCTCCTCTGTGAAGATGACTCTGCTTGTCCTTACTCCTCTTAAAATATGACTTTCTTAAAAAAAAAAAAAATCTCTTTCAAATAGACTGAAGGGGTTCACCAGGTGCAGCAATGGTCAAGAACCAGACTGCCAATGCAGGAAATGCAGCAAAAGGAAGAGATGTGCGTCCAATCCCAGGTGAGGAAGATCCCCTAGAATAGGAAATGGCAACCCACTCCAGTATTCTTGCCTGGAAAATCCCATGGACAGAGGAGCCTGGTGGGCTACAGTCCATGGGGGTCACAAAGAGTTGGACACAACTATGCATGCATGCACACATGATAAAGTGTTATTAGTGAAGTGAAGTGTAGTGAAGTGTCACTCAGTCATGTTCTTTCCCAGTCATGTTATTAGTGAAGTGAAGTGAAGTGTCACTCAGTCATGTTCTTTCCCTCTCTAAGAGAACTGGGGAATGTGTCTCTAGCTCTCATTCAGGTAATTAGATATTAATAAATCCAGGTTAATATAGAGGTATAGTATAACCTCTGCTAAAAGCAATGGCATAGCAAGAGAAAAGTATGGAAGCAGGGAATATTCCTGTCAGAACACAGTATTTTACCACAGAATGCTAGTGCACAGTGATTACAAAGAAGCTTAAATTCCTTACAAAAAATGTACCTCCTTATTTTCTTACAAGGAGTAATATCTTTATACCAAGGCAGACTGCTCCCAAACACCACCTTCCCTCTTACTGATATGTAACTATCCAAGAATTATCAGATGACGAAGAAAAAGACATGACAGCTTTTTTCCCAACTAAGACAACAAGAAGTCCTAAGGAAAAAAGCAATAACCTCTGATTCCAAAGATTACAACTGCCAATTAACCATGATGGATTCAATGACCACACATATCTCTGCTAAATCCTTACCAAAATAAGAGTGAAAAAGATTTTTAAGTATTTTTTTTTTAAAAAAGAGAGATGAACAGATTAAAAGAGGAAACTAACAAATTAGTCTGCAGACCTAAATAAGAGCTATAAAATTCTATAAGACAGCAGATGGAGCAGTAATATGATAAACTGTATTTTCAAAGAGGGCTACAATGACAAATCTTATCCCATATGCTATTTTGCAATGAGACTTTGTCACTCCCTCATCAAAAGTGACAACTAGGCCCCCTCCCTATGAATCTGGGTTTGGTCCTGTAATTTGTTCTGATCCAAAGAATGTGGCAGAAATGAGGTTGTGTAACTTCTAAGATTCAAGTACCCTGAGACCACCAATGTTGTGAGTAAGCCCAAAATAGCCTCACTGAGAGAAAAAGGCCAATGGAACAGCACCAAAGTACCAAATATGTGATTCTTTCTGAGACCAGACAAGCTGAATGGAACTAAGAGAATGATCAAAGTCAAGGTTCTGTGGGGCAAAAGAAATAACCTCCCAGCCAAAACTTTCTGAGTTGGGATAATAAGCAGAGTACTGGCAAAAGTCTGGTTCACAGTGAGCTCTCACTGAGCCTGCAGACCCACCCTAATAGTCTCTCTCCACTCCCAAAGTTTATAACTAAATTTACATAACTGGCAGTTAGAATAACCCCCACAAAGGATCCTATGTGGTAAAAGCTGTCATGGTGGAAAAGGTCAAGTAGAAACCTCTGTGTGCATGCATGCTAAGAAGTCGCTTCAGTCGTTTACAACTCTGTGGGAGACCCTATGGACTGTAGCCCACTGGATTCCTCTGGCTGTGGGATTCTCCAGGCAAGAACACTGGAGTGCACTGCTGTGCCCTCTTCCAGGGGCTCGTCCCTACCAGGGATCAAACCTATGTCTCTTAGGTCTACCTGCACTGGCAGGTGAGTTCTTTACCACCAGCACCACCTGGGAAGCCCCCTGAAATTGCCCCATTCCCCAGAACAAGACAGTAAGTAAAAGACAATATTGCTTTTCCAAAGGGGCAAAGAAGCAAAGACTAACGCTGCCAAGTAAAGACTTTTAAGTATGCAGGGTGATGGTACTTCCCATGCATAATCTGCAAAAAGCAGACTGCCAGAAAAATGACTACAGACTGCCAGACACTTAACCAAATTTTAGCTCTGGGCACAGCTGCAAGACCCAAACATAATACTGTTGAAGGAACTGTTTAATTAAGCTTCGGGTGTTGATTTGGTCAATGTATTCTTTTCCATTCCAGTTACTAAAGTAAAAAGTACAAAAAACAGCAACTGTGTAGGACCGCATTAATTTACAGTTTTGCCTAAGGGCTGTTTTAACTTTCTCAAGTTTCTGTCATAACATACCTGAAAACATCGAGACCACCTGACACATTACATACATATTTTGCTGACTGGACAGAACCAACAAGAAAATAAGCAAGAGGTACCTGGTATTGTGGGGTCTTGGAGAACACACTCAACTCCAGAAAGTGAGATATTAATTCTATGAGGGCTCAAAGACCTGCAACTTAAATGTTTTTAGAGGTGCAGTGGTCAAGAGCATTACAAGACATCCCCTCCAAAGTGAAATACAAACTGTTGAGACTTAAGCTTACATTCAAGGTGGAAAAAGAGGGGCTGGACTTACCTTCCACCTAAAACAACAAAAAGTCATAATAAATAAAACAACATTTTTAAAGAGATAAAGACATCAGTTTAAAAAAAAAGAAAAAAAGACAGTGACACTTGAGAAAGGGGAAACAAATGCCTGGTGGTGTCTTGAGAAGAGGGCTCCCAGTGGCTGAGCGGTAAAGAATCTGCCCGCAATGTGGGAGACCTAGGTTTGATCCCTGGGTTGGGAAGATGCCTTGGAGGAAGGCAGGGCAACCCACTCCAGTATTCCTGCCTGTAGAAACCCATGGAGAGAGGGGCCTGGCAGGCTATAATCCATAGGGTCACAAAGAGTCAGACATGACTGAAGCGACTAAGCACGTCTTGAGAATCACCTGGCCACCAGGGAGGAGAACGTAGCTGAAGTTTGCAGAGCTGGATGGAGGAAGTACATACTATACCCAAGAAAAGAATGTGCTGCAAACTTACAGAGGGTTTCACTTGAGTCTTAGGTTGAGTACCAACCATTTCAAGTACAGGAAGAAAATTCTGAATTCAGAGAAAGAATCACCTTAAAGAATTAAGAGTAGTGGTCCTCAATCAAGACTGATTTTGCTCCTTGGGTGACAGAGTTATGTCTGGAGACATTTGGGACTGTCATCATTTTTGAAGGG